TCCTCTGGTCAGGCCCCTCCCTGGCGCTCACCTCCCTCCAGCCTTCCGGGAGCTGGACGGGGCCTCCCCAGCTTCGGGCAGCTTGGGACAGTGGCCGGAGACTGCCGGAATCCGAAACCTCGCTTCTGGCTGGCCACAAGATCTGGGCGCGACCTAAGCAACAGGGTCTTGACCAAGTCCCTTATCTTGCTGGTCCTCTGTTTTTCTCATCCGAGAATTGGACATAAGACCTGGGGTTTGTGAGGTTGGAAGGAAATGAAGAAAGGTCTCAAGCACACTTGCCAAGTCTTGCTTTGCGTTTTGGTTTTCTGTGTGCTTGTTTTATTTATCCTTCCAGATCCGGCAGATCAGCCCCTAGCTGGCACAGCGTAGGTGGCTGCAATGTTTGTGGAATGAATGAATGAAGAGAAAAGGGCTGCAGCCTGTGCCTGGCTGGTGCAGAGTGATCAGTTCCACACCTTAGTGACTGGTGGGAGCTATTTGCCCATCCCCAGGTCACGCCTCCTCCAGGTTCCTGACCTGATTGTATTCTTCCTCACCCTGCCTCAGCCTGCATTATACAGCCTCCCATGGCTGGAAAGCTCTCTTGTGTAAATGGGGAAACTAAGGCCCAGAGAGGGCCAGGGAGCTGCCCCACCTCACCAGGGTTGGGGACAGAGCCGTAGAGCAGGCTCACACTCCCACCCGCGACCCTGTGCTCTTCACTGTTCCGGGAGCATGAGGTTTGCTCCCATGTAGATGGTCACATTTGGGTGCTGGAAGGGTACTCTTCACTCCATGGAGTCCTCTGGGCTCAGCACAGAGGAGGGGCTCAGTAAACATTTGGTGTTGAGAGTGGGCAGGAGGTGGCAGGGATTTGTGGGGCCGAGCTAGAGTACAGATGGAGGCTCACACACCATATGTCTAAATATTTGCAAGTTATAAATCAAGCTAACAAAATGTGAAATAAAATATGTTCTATTCTCCTACTTTGACAAGCACACTTTCATAACAACCCGGAAGGCCAGCTCTGAAGGTAGAATTTTCAGACTCCTCAGACCCCGCACTAGAGCATGGGGGCACAGGGAGAGGAGACCCCCTCCTTTTCCACCTCTGCCTCTGGCCTGCCCTTTAAGGAGCCTTGTGCACACACGTGTGAACATCTCAGCCTGTACACGCAAGCTTGGTCCACGCCATCCCCCCCTCCCCCAAGAGCTGCTCCTTGGCTACCCCTTGTCCACAGGGCTGGGCACATCAGTGGTGTCACCCAACCTCAGGGGGTGGGTCTGCAGAAGAGATCTGCCCGGATCCTGGAAGTGGGCTTAGGGCCATATGGGCAGATAATCCCAGGGCCCTGAGTACCAAGGGGGTGGTGTCTAGAGGGGGCACAGGCTCCAGGTGGCATGTCCCCTGGCCTCATGTTCTCCTCTCCCTGTGGGGAGAGCTTAGCTGGAGAAAGACCAGAGTTCAGGGTCCCAAGGGCAGGGGCCACTCTCATCTAAGAGTGGTACTGAATTACTGAACTATTTTGAACCAATGTATTAGCTTCTTAGAGTCTCAGCGTGGTATGATGGAAAATAATGATAGTAATAATAATAATAATTTAAACAGCAGCAGGCAATTATTTTAGGGTGGCCATATAGCTTCTTTCCAAACCAGGACATCTTTGAGAGTGACTGGGGACTCTAACTGGAAGTTTTACTGGAGTATCAGGCATAAAGCAGGACTGTGCCAGGCAAACTAAGATGTCTCATTTTGCTAAAATATTGAGCCCTCGCCCTCGTATGCCAGGCGTTGTTTTAACTGCTTTACATGCTGTCATTCATTCAATTCTCACAAGAAGTCTGGGAAGCAGGTACTGTTCTTTTCTCCATTTTACAGATGAGGAAATGAGGGTTAGAGCAGTGATTTGCCCAAGGAAAGTGGTGGCCCTGAGACTCCAGAGCCACATCCTCAGCCCCTCGGCTGGCCGGTGCCTGTGGCTCTGATACTTGGGCTTGAGCCCCTGTCCCGCAGCACATGCTCCGGACATTTGGGGAGCTGCTGGACCTCCGATGTCTGTACCGTCAGGTGTGGACAATGCTACCTGACTCCCCTTCTCCTGGGGCTGCTGGGAGATGCATATGAAGCAGTGGGTGTGAGTCCTGGGAGCTGGAAGGAGCAGAGAGTAGAGGAGAGGGAGGGAGCTGAGGTCCCCGGCCAGAAAGGCCCGCCCTGATCGTGATAAGGGAGAGGAGGAGTCCTTTGGTCTGAGTCAGTGGAAAGTCTTAATGTGAAAGTCTCTTTGAGAAAACGCTCTTCCAGCTTTCAAGAGCACTTCAGTTGTGAAGTTATAAGTATAAATTAATTAAAAAGTTCAGCCATCAATAGCTCTTTCATAGTGATTGCATATGATAACAGCAAACATGTATCTAGTACTTTCGATGTGCCAGCTGTTGTTCCAGATGCTTTGCTTGTATTAACTGATTTAATGCTGGCCACAGCCCTCGGAAGTAGAGGCCGTTGTTATTCCCACGTACAGGTGGTGAAACCCAGGTGCTGCTCTAACGTGCTTTAAGATATTATCAATGACCCTATGACATTGGCACTATTATTGTTACTCCCACTTTACATACAGAGAAACTGAGGCACAGGGGGTAAAATGACTTGCCTATAGTCACATGGCTAGTAAGTGGCACAGCCAAGGTTTGGACAGAGGTGCTCCGGATGCTGAATCACCCACTCTTTAAAAGACAAGAATTTTCCGTATGTCAAGATTAATGTCTGGGTCCAGAAGGTGCGGCCATGGGGTTTTTCTAGGCTCCTCCTGGCAGTTACTATAAACCCTCCAGGACTGAGGTGGGGTCTCCACCCTCTGAATCTCCTCTCTGCCCAGTGCATTGAGCACCCCACACAAGCGGGAATCTGAACTCGTGTTAGTTGTTTTCTGTTACTTGGTCGAAGAAACAGTTTCTTAACTTTCGGAGTGGCCCATTTTTGGAGTGAGTTCTCCTCCTTTACTGGTAAAACTATGAAAATTCACCAAGGAGGGGAAACCTGGCAAAGTTTCTAATCAGAAAGAATCATATACTGCGTGTCTAAATTATTGCCAGCTCTCAGTGACTGAGTCCAAAGCAACATGGTTGGCTGTGTTTCCAGCCCGATCTTAGAAGTACCCGGTAATGGAGCATCTGGTCAGCGGGTGGCTGGGATTTCCAGTCCAACTTCCCAGAGTTTTGAGATGAGAAACTGAGGGCCTAGGCTTGGTGTCTAGAACATTCTTAAGTCTATATATGCATTGTTCAAGGAGATAAAAAGTAGAGAGTGCCTTTCCTGCCACTGTGGTCTGCACCATCTCAGGATTAGCTGGACAGATCTGCACAGTTGTCTTCTCCAGAGCTGTCCACCCTGGGGCCTCGTTCCCAAAGAGCACCGGAAACCTGATCAGTTTCAGCCAGCCATGTGTGCTTGTGTGGCCCTGGGCAGCTAGCTCCCTGCCCCTCTCTGGGCCTGGCATTTGCTCCCTAAAGACCCTTCTAGGAATCTAGAGAGAGGATAAAGTGGAACTTCGAGTTCTCAGGAAGACCTATATTTGTTTTCAGCCCGGACAGATCACTTTGCCAATCTGAGCCTCAGTTTCCTCACCTGTGCAATGGGGGTCATAGGGATATTGCGAGGAATCAGTGTGATAATGTGTGTAAAGCCTTCGAAGCACAGGGCCCAGCTTCCATGAACGTTAGCTCTTCATCTTGTTGTATGGTTTAAACCAGAAGTCACACTCCAGTGGTCTGCAGGTGTGTTTTACTTGGCCCGCCCAATGTTTTTAAATGTATGAATTTGTTGACAACATTTCAAGATTGGGAGATTTCACATAAGAAGCGAGACCCCCAGCTTCTCTTGAAAGATGGGGAGATTTGGCAATAGGGCACCCACTTTCTTGTGTGAAGAAAGCCATCTCTGTACATCTTTAATGGCTCACACGTGTCCCTGCATCCCTCTACAGAGCCCTCTGGGAAGGAAGGAAGCCAGTGTTTCCTGAACATCCTACTGTGTGTCAGGAGCTGTGCCTATGTATTGTAATTTAATTCTCACCATAGGTTATTAATGTCTTTATTTTGCCAAAGAGGAAACAGGGGCTCAGAAAGTTGGGATAACTTGCCGAAGATCACTCTGTTAGCAGATAGCACAACCCAGGACTTCCAGTCAAGACCCGTGTCGCTTTTCTCTTTTGGGGACCCTCTGCCTAGTACCGGGTCCATGGAGACACCTTGGTTATGACCTGTTGATGGATTGATAAATGGGTTTAGGCATGTGATGTCAATGCCTGTGGTTCCCATTCTTTATCTTCAGACCCCTGGGGGCCTGTGAAGTTAGGGTAGGGGTCCAGGAATCAGTGCGCACACCTAGAAGTCTTGGAATAAAACTCTCTTGCCTGTCTATGATGATTGTAGTTTTAAATGCTTTATTATGAAAATGTTCAAATATGCACAATAGAAGAAAGCCGTACTGTAATAAATCCCTGTGTCTGCATCACCCAGATTTAGCAGTTTAGCAATATTTTGTCCCATCTGCTTCATCTACTCATTTTTGTTGTTCTTGTTTCTCTTTTTCTTTAGGGCAATATTTCAAAACACATTCCAGATATCTTGTTGTGTCTCCTGCACATACTTCAGTGTAGATCTCTAAAACCAGTGGAGGGTTGAAGCCAGCTGGTTTCTGGCTGCTGAGAGCCAACT